GGGGGGGGGGCACACACAGGCCGCACATGGGCCGCACACCCGCTCCGCCCTGCTGCTCCGCTCAGACTGGATGGCGCGCCCCGCTCTATTGTCGCGTCTATCGCGAGGCGCCCTAATAGTCTGGGAGAGTGCGCTGCTAGCTCTGGACCGCGGGGAGGGCCAGCACCACCAGCGTCACGATGAATGTCATGCGACGATTATCTCACACACAATGTGGCGCCAACGGGCCCATATGCCACATGTGATGACTGACTTTCACCTGTGATTTTCGGTGAGCGCCAGCCCAGCCCCGAGCAGAGGTCTTAATTTCCAGTACCCCTAAGTGTATTTTTGGCTAATTCCAAAGAATTCTTTTTAATAATCTCCCTGCAAAGTTTCATTGTTTTCTATTTTATCTGGAAATATTTCATTTTTTTTTCAAATTTTTCCTGGAAAAGTTTCGATTTTTTTCCCGGTGAAAGTCGGACTTAAAAAGCCCCACGGTGATAAAACTTTCTTGGATTTCAGGACCTGGTCTTGAAACTTATGGAGAACGCCAATGGCATCCAAGAGTAGGTCTTGAAATACATGAAACTATTTTTACCGTGCCGAGCCCCGAGTCCTGCCCTGCCATGGCGACGCCTGGCAGGTAGGCTACCGCGCGGAATAGAGTGCAGGCGTGCGGACGGGTTGACTACACGCAAGGCGTCCCGGAGAGTCACGTAGCTCAGCTCGGGGAGCTCCAGAGGCATCAACGGCGAGTCACCGTGCCGGTGGAGCTTAATAATCGCATTTGCAGATGTACGTGCATAACTTGTGCGTCCAAGGGTGCAAAATTTCAAAGTTTACAAAATGTCTAAAATTTGCACATCACACAAGTGTGCAACCTTAAGTAGACTCTATGTAATTTGCAAATCTGGCACACGGCACACTTGTTTTAGCAGTGTAAGATTCGTACACACAGACGTCTTTTTTTCGAAGAAAGGATTTATTTTAGCAAAACGGTGGCATTCGGGGATGCCAGGAATTCCTCTCCTAGTTAAGGGCTCTGCCCGTCATCGCGATGTCGTCGAAGCCGGGGGAAGGTCGCCTGGCGCAGCTGAGCCGCGCGAGCTAAAGTCCTTGGGCTCTGAGAAATCTCCGGCCCTATCGGAGACAAGGATATTAAACATTTGACGAAATTAGATGATAATAACACTAACCTAATGCACGTTCATTCCAATTATTTCCTAACGCAGCTAAAATAGCATCTTTGTCGTCCTTGTTGTATACAATCCGTTTAGCCATGTTGAAGGGAATTACCTGAACTCACGATTTTCTTGAAAGACGTGTAGTGACTGTACTTTGATTTGGATTTGAATGCCCTTTCTGCTCTGCGATAGCCTCTAGCGAGGTCCACGCCGTGGGCTGCGGCTTACGGCCGTCGCTATCTGGACAGGCCCTAGGTGGTCGTGGAGGCCGAATGTAGGTTGGGTGCCCCGAGAGGCCAGAGGGGTGAATCACTCGTCATTTAGAGTCGGTCTTGTTTTCGGTCGGGTCGGGCGCGGGACGAATGCGAACCGATGCGAACGCTTACGAGGCGAAGTAGTGGGAGGGGAGTATGCCTGTTGTAGGCAGGAGAGTCTTGTGGCCTTGGCGAGCTGTTAGCGGGCGCCAGGTAATTGCCTTACCTGTGCGAGTCATCCCGAAGAGGGAGAGAGAGAGAGAGAGAGAGAGAGAGAGAGAGAGAGAGAGAGGGAGAGGGAGAGGGAGAGGGAGAGAGAAAAGGAGGAAGGGGCACAGGTGAGGAGAGCAATGAGTGTGGCGAGCTGCTTGACGACATGCAGGCGCACGGCGCGCACGGCTCGGAGGGCGTGGAGGAGGACGAAGACATGGCGCAGCGAGAACAACGAAGAGTAGGGTTGCGACGGCCGGTAAGGTTACCGGTAACGTTACCGGAAAAATTGGTAATTTACAGTAATTTACCAAATGCTCGGTAACGTGGAAAAAACGGTAATGATAGCACTTTAAAATGAGTCAAAAACTCACTTTTCAGAAGCAAAAATCACATTTGGAATGGTAAATATGACATATTATTATCTTTTTAGTAACTTTTTAGGGACCTGATCGCAAATTTGTCATGATTCTTAAGTTTAAACGGCATAGCTTTAGATAACGATTTTTATAGGTGTACTTTTGGTATATCTATATACAACTGATGTTTATGAAAACCAGATGATAAACACAAATATTCCAATAGATTTAGCTAATACCGGCTATTCCGCTACTTTATAGGCAGTACACACGAATTTCGATCGCCAAGAAATAGTAAATTGCCAATTTGTCTCCTACAAATCGAATTTTTCCAATTTTTCCATTATTTCCGGTAAATTACCAATTTTACCGTAATTTACGGTAACATTGATTGTTACCGGTAATTTCGTAACCCTAACGAAGAGACTGATAATAACAACCAACAACCGGAACCGTGGTGTTGTTTTGTTCAGGGATGACCAGAGACTCGAAAGTAGATTTTGCCACGCGATAGAGCAATTGCGAAATAGATAAAAATTTCTCTATCGTTTTGTCTAAGTGACAAATTTTGACTGCGGCGCCAGGCGAGTCAAATGAGACGAGTTTTCTTCACGGTTGTTGGCTCAACTATACTTGGAGCTCTTTACAACCAAAGCAATAGTTTGCTGAAACTTTTTAAATTCCGCCAGGTGCGTGAGGGAATGGTGCGTCGGCTGGACAAAGTGCAAGTAGTGCACTCGGCAAAGGGGGACACTTCTGCCGGAAGTGGGGATGATGGGGAGGCGGATGTGGAAGGACAGAGGGGCCCACGACGGCGGCGTGGCGTGGCGCTCGCACGACGACGCCTTTGGGCTCAAAGCGGTACGGGGTGGGGCCGCGGCGACGCCTCTACGGGTGCAGTGGGCCGCGTCGGGGACGGTCACGGGCCCAAAGGTGGCGGCGCGGGGCGGGGCGGGGCCGCAGAACGGGATGTCACGAACAGAAGGAGATCAAGCCGTCATCGCCGCGGAGGGCAGCAAAGCACAGCTCAGCCCGTGCAGAGTGACGGCCTCCTGTTTGCTGCCTTTACTTACGCAGCCTCAGCTCCTTTATGCCTTTTGCCCTTAACTTTTCTTTTCTCCCCTCCCCGCACTGCGGGAACCACAAAAACAATGACAGAATGCCGCTTTCTTCGTGCCCCGCGGATGTTTGTTCCCCGCATAGACTTGACTTAAAATTATTTCTGGGAGCCGCAGAGAAAGAGAGATTGCCATCATGTACACTACCTCTGTTTTACCTCTATTTCTGTTTGAACTTGGAAGCCGCAAAGAAAGAAACCGCTGTCGCGCGTGTATTGTTCATTTGCAAATCAGCAATTCAAGACAAGTGTCGCTGCCCCCGCCCCACACGCGCCTGAGCCTGGCCGCCCTGGCCGTGGAGCTCGAGAGCCTTGTAGTGGGTCTATCTGGCCGAGCAGAGCGCCGAAACGGGAACGGAACGCTGCGCTTAAAAGAGCAGCCGCACACACACACGCACGATAACGCACCGCAACGTCGAGGGAGCTGTAGGGGGAGCAAGTTATGCACGTAACATCTGCAAAGACGAATATGAGGTGGTCCCACGAGCGCGGTGACTTGCCGTCGATGCCTCTGGTGCTGCTAGGTGACTCTCGGGGACGCCCTTGCTGGTAGGCAACCCGTCCGCACGCCTGCACGCGATTCCGGGTGGTAGCCTAACTACCTGCCAGCCGGTCGAGAGAGGTGAAGGGGTACGTTTTTTGTCCCTTCCGCTAGAGACAGTCTTTAAGGGACTGTCTAAAATGCGCCGACAAATTTTCCATCCTCCTCCTCATCCCGCCCAACACCCTTTTGGAAAGGGACTAGACTGGGGAGGGAATAGATAAATCCATCCTCTGCCGCGGCCGCGCCGCGCCGCCATCCGTCTCCGCCCCGCCCCGCCCC